AAATAAAATAAATGTTTTGTTGAGAGAGAGAGAGAGAGAGAGAGAGCGTTGTATTTAGTTTATCAAATATGTATAATAAAAATACATAAATCTATTGTCACTTAAAATTTATCTATATTTAAACAAACTGTAATAACTCTATCAATAGTTGATAAATAGTAATAACAAGAAATTCTTTGTTAATATTTGAACCCTTTGGATATCATAACGTTTATTTAATTTTTATACAAATGAAAAACATAAATAAATATAAAGGTATAGTGAGTTCTCTTACATTCCGGCCCCAATTCATTAGCCCTAATCCATTTCCACCCATACCTTTCCACCCATACCTTTCCACCCATACCTTTCCACCCAAACCCGATGGCCAAACTCAATGGCTATTCAATACTGAGAACTGTGTCACTAATTGTGTCCCACTTTCACTATAAACATACCGTTAGCCTAACTCTAACTCACCGAGAAAGCCTCAATTGTCCCACAAATAGCCTAACATTCTGTACACAAACAATACACATAGTCTCACCTTAAGTGGACCACAATTAGGTCAAACTGACCTCAAAACTCTGTACACAACGACTATATAAAGTCCTACAAAAACACAAACACTTTATGTTTATTCTAATGCTTTTCATAAGGTAATGCCTTATGATATCTACGGTCTGTCTTAGACCTAACTCTCGTACACAAGTGTACCTATCATTCAATTGTAATTTTACATTATAATCAATAAGTTTTAATTCAATTGTTTTTATTATATCTACAATAATATTTGTACCATTCATTCATTCGTGTCCACCACTTAAATAAATAAATACTGTTTGCAAAACACAACAAACGACTGCAACTTATTTACCTTTAATTCTGTGACCACCAAAACAACAGTTAAACTCCAATTAGTTTACATAAACATAATATATTTATAAATAAATTAGTTTTTGTAACTTACTTTGAGTAAATGACCAAAATTGGCCTTGTCGGATTTGGGTCCCTTATTACAATCGCCACTCCAGCAAACCGGGTATTCCCAGTCAATGTCCAGTCCGTCCCACTTATACTTATGGATATAAGCGATAGTGTTTTTAATGAACTGCGCCCTACGGCCCGCGTCACTGATCAGGTGGGAGTACTGGGCGTCGGGCTGTCCGGCGCCGCCCAACGACGGTATAATCTTCAGCTCCGGGTTCTTCTTCTTGAGCTCCTGGAGTCGACGGTAGACATCGGGCTGAGCGCCGGCGCTGTCCTTAATGACATTGTGCGTTTGGTCCAACACGTGAAACGCGTGGTGAACGTGCGTACAAAGGGTTGGGTCAATGTTTTCCGGGGTATGCTTATTGTCGCCCCCTTCGTCCATACGCCAGTTCGGCCAATAGCAGATCACTTTCTGTTTGCTCACTGCCACGAGCACCTGTGCGCACACCAGCGCAGCGATTAATAAGACTTTCATAGTTTTATTTTTTGTTTCAGTCTAGATGAAACTTCTTATTAACCAAACTCTAGTTTAACCAAAATGCTGTCAAACCTATTGTTTAAATAGTTTTTTGTTTTGTGAAGTAAAAGAAATAAGTGATAAGTGATGTAACAAATTACTTCAAACATATAGTGTTGTTTGATTATTTATAATATGACCTTGTTTTTGTTTAATGTCGTGACCAAGGTGTTATAATTTATTAAATAAAATGCCGATTAATATAGTTATTGTTATTAGTAATTTATTATTACTTAAGCAAAAACTTATTTTGAATTTTTTGTAGTTATCCTATCAAGAATATTTGTAGCTTGTAATACATTTTTAAGCATAATGTATTATTTTTTTAAAAAAAGTAAATTATAATTTATTAAATTAAAGATTTTAAGTAACAGTTAATCAACTTAATCAGCTAAAATGGTAAATAATATAACAATAACGCAAATAAGTTTTATCACTATGATTATTTTGAAGTGTTTTGTACAACAAAAATTGTACCAGATGTCATTTAGAATAATCATATATTAATATATGCTTTTATGTATTATAAATAGTTTAAACAATTGGGGTATATTTTATCCACAATTATTAGAAAAGTCTTATGTTTATCTAATTTGTCAATTTACTTTTACTTTGACAAATTTAGGTTTACTGATAATAAATGCACCTAAGTCTAAGTAACTAAATTAGTTATAAATATTTTCTATAAAGATTATTGATTATAAACAATCCGGATACAATTAATTTGTACCGAATAAATGTAAACTTGTTAAGATCAGTAGCAACGCAAATAATATATAATTATGTATTACACAATGAACATACAGCATAAATAATTGTATGTCAGTTAAATATTTTAATTATTATAGCTTAATATTATTTGTTATAACATAATATGTATTACATATTAATACATATATTATAATATAATATATTATAATATAAAAACCGCTCTTAATTTTAAGAATTATATAATTAATATGTATTACAATGTGTAAAAACTGCCCTTATAAGTTATAACTAAAATAATCAATTTTTATACATTAGTAATCAAATTCACAAATTAAAATATATTTCGAGTAATATATAATATAATTATTAAAGTTTAAAAAAAATATTTTACATATCTTTATTTTGATTTTTAAACAACAGAAATTCACATATAATTTATATAAGTTTTTAATATGTAAGATATTATTCAGTAGTACACTAAAAATTGGAATTTAACAGTATTTTAAAGACATCTCTATTTGAACGTTGTGAAAAGGTAAAAGAGAAGTATTAAAACTGTTTCCTATTTTCAAAAGAATAAAATATAATGTAAAATACAAAAATTAAATTTTATTACTACAAAATAAACAATGTTATAATTTAATATAAAATCTATACACAAAATGCGGGTCTAATAAAATTGTAAATTTGTCAAAATTAATCATTATATCTATATGTATCGCCGGTAGCCCTAACTCTACTTGGATTTCTTTGGTCGTGTAGTCGCCATCCCTTTATTGTCGCGAAGGTATTTCAATTGATACCCTGGGCTTTGATCGCGCGTCACATCAATGGGCACTTCGTTCATAGAATTATCCAATTTATCGGTTCCGGGGTTTCGGTTGTGTATAGTTTGGGCAAAATTATAGACATTTCTTTCATTTATTGGCCATTCGTTTACTGGAAATCCGTTTTCGTGTCTTTCTATTAAACAGTCGACTGTTTTCTCTATAAATTAAAATTTTGTTAAAATGTTTATTCAATAATTTGATAATAATACCAAAAATTGAGAGATAAATAATACAAAATAAAATAGTAAACATTTTGGCAAAAAAAAACATCTGTTTTTGTTATTTAAAACATATACAACGTTTAATTTTTTAATTAATAAAAATAAAAATATTATAACTTATTTAAGCAATATTATATTTATAGTTTAGTTATTTATTAACAAATATTTAAATGTAATTATGTTAAATGATTATACAATTTAAATATAAAATAATAGATTAAAAATTGGATATTTATTTCCGTTCGCAGCCATAAGTTTCGGGTCCACTGCCGGTGCCAAACAAGCCGTGATTGATGGCTCGCAGCATAGGGTAGCTCTTAGAGCAGCACTTGGGATGGAAATCATCCTGGGTGATTTCCCACACGATTATACCACCGTAACCATTGTCCTTAACCCATTTGCTCTTGCTTTTAAATAAATTACAATTAAATTATATTATAATATTTAAACACAACTAAAATAAATGGTAATTTAACTTAAGTACTGTATAATTAAGTAAATTATAATTTGCATATGAATCATTTTTATCTGAATTTTTTTCATTTAAACAATTGTAAAATTATTTATCTAAAATAGTTTCAGTTTACCAATATGACATTTTAAATTTTATATATTATTTTTCCTAAATTATATAAAGCAAATAATTATTATCTATTAACATTTCATAATTATTTAAATTCCGTAGATTTATTTAACATACATTGCTTGAATAACTAAATATTAAAACTGTAAGCTCATTCAAATTATCATTTAAATAGTGATCTATAAAAATGTTGTATAATTTATGAGTTCAAATATTGGGTAGGTTATTTTATATTTTAAATATTAACAAGACTGATTGATTGATTGATTATTATTATTATATTTTTAATAACAAATTTAAAATACTAAATCAATCTAAAATATAGATTAAGCCGTAAACAAGTTTTAATTTTTAGATATTTACAACACTCTAATGAAAACTCATTTGCTTTTACTATTAAATGAATAACACTAATGTTAATAATTAAATTATAAAAATATGTAATATGTGTACCATAATTACAAAAATTATAATAAGTGTTTGTATATAATATATCCTACTTGTTAAATTATTAAATAGCAATAGAATGAATTATCTTATATACAGTTAATATTAAAACTGTAAAGTCAACTCAATTGACAATTAACTATTATGGAAAACATCATTGTTATTTATATTTGGACTACCAGTCGCTCGCAATTTTACCGTTTTAACAAAATAAAATAAAAACAATACTTACTCGTAGGCGGCGTAGGGGTCGTCATAGCCCACCCACGTTAGGTCGTGGTATGAGATGGGGTCGTGTCCCTGATCCGGGTCCTCCTTAGCCCAACCCTTATTCTTAACCAAATCACACATTTCCCGATACCAGGCGTTGTCGCCCTCGCCATGAGGTGTACGGCCCTCACCGGCAATGGGAGCGCCGATATAGTGCTTGTTTTTATCGGCCAATTTGAATGTGTGACCATAGAATGGGACCCCCATTAGTACCTTCTCTTTGGGTATACCTTTGTTGACGTAGTATTGAGAGCCGGATATGCAGAACGAGAACTTGGAGTGGTGTCCAGTCTTGTGCTCCCACGTGCCCGCCTCGTCATATGTCATCACAGCAATATAGTCCAGGGAACTAAATAGTTATTGATAAAATAAATAATATTAAATGTGTTTTATATGATTTAGTTAAATGTAAAATTAGGTACTTTAATATATGAGCCGTCGACCGATGCCACAATTAATTATTATATATAATTTGTTAATTTATTTTAAAACAAATAAAATATATTACAGTCTATAATATAGCATCTATATCAAGAATATATATAATATTTTTCATTTATGTTGTTATAAAAATAATGGAAATAACTATAAATATAACATGCTAAAATTTGTTAAATAATAAGAATAATACTACCATGTTTAATTTGTGTTTAAAAACCTTAAAATTAGTTTATGTTTTTGTGTTTCTAAAATTATTGAATAAACATTCGAAGGATTGTTCGGACCAATTTAAAATAAAAATTGTTAATGACTTTAATTAATAAAAAGTTTATATGTCATTTTACAGCTGTTTCTACGACTACTAACAAGTAAGATAAATTAAAAATTATCCAGAGCATCTAAACCTTATAAATTGAAATATTACGTAATTATTTATATTTAATAATTTATTAAAAAAAACTTGTATATTAAATGTTATATATTAAATTCTATATAATTTATGTTAGTTAAAGGTAACATATATTATCATTACTACTATTATTATTCACCTGGTTTTTGTTATATCTTTTATAATATATAATATATGCATAACATTATAATAAATTATATGACTTACGCGGCCATCGCCTGGAAATCGTATGCGTGATCTACAGTACCGCCGGGAACGCCGGCCACCACTGCTGTTGATAGCGATAGGCGTGGGTTCTCCTTATCGAATGCGGCCCTTAATTCCTATGAACAACACAAATATTGATTAGAGAGAGAGAGAGAGAGAGAGAGAG